AAGCTTAACCGGAAGAATGGCTTCTACTGTACTATTTTAGATGCGATTTTTTGTTTTCAACTACGTTTAGTCTTCATCGAGTACTTAGGTGTATTAAATTGATCACATTTCAGACATTGTTTAAATATTTTTATATATTTCAATTTTAAAAATGTTCGAACCGTTTTAAATTCGAATTTGTTATTGCGTATTGGTTCGATTATAGAACGATTGTAAACGTTTCAGAAAATTGATCAAATTGAAAATAGTTCGTTTGATTTTCGGCAATTCTCTTCAGCGGTAGGTGTTATATAACAATTACTATGGTTATTGAAATATTGGATGTAAATGGGGTTTGCTTGCAAAACCTCCGCTGACGAAGTCGCGGGTAACAGCTAGTTCTTTATATACTTCTTATTTATACTTAGTATTACATTTGCATTTTATTTTTAATCTGGCCCACTGTCATACTTGAGACAAAAAATTGGACTTAAGGTGTTTGAGTTTGACACCCCTGCCTTAAAACATTCATCACCCTTTCCTGTGATATTAGAAGTAATTTCAGAATACAAATAATTGGATGTAATACTAACCGTATCACTTTCTTCTCCCATAATGACAGCTGAGAATAAGTCAGATCTAAATATTAAATACCTTTAAATGCTCTTGCAATATACAGAAAAGATATTTCTCCTTCAAAAAACATTAAAAATCTTTCAAAAATGTAAAATATTGACAGATTTATTTTTACTGAGATTTAAAACATGATTTTTTAAAATAAACCAGATTATGTTTAAATAGTCTTGAAAACAAATAATTCATTGAGAATTCATTTTTTTTATATATTTTATTATGAAAATAAAAACTTTATTAAAAAATTTTAATTACCTGTAACGGCAACGAGGTGTATTACATCTCTCCGTACCAGAAGCTCTGCGATGAGAGATACTTCTTCTTCTTATATTTCTTTCAGATGGAGATGATGCTGAATGGTCCCAGGAAGTAATGGGTAAAGAGGAAATAGAGTTATCTGGAATCTCAGTTACATCTTGGGAAGACAGTGATACTCTGCACCGTTTTCTGCTAGGGCTTTCACTCTATTAAATTAATTATTAATGGTTTAAAATTTATCATTCATACACACTACATTAAATTAAAAGTTATGTAACAATCTTATCAAATGAAATTTGTGATCCTTAACTAGAAAATAATGTTGCTTTCAAAATGAAATATGATGTATTTAAGATTGAATACATGCACCAGATTAGTGAATATATTCAATTAATGTGAATGATTAAATTGAATTAACTTGCCAAACTAAAACAAAAACATAGCATTTACACATAATAAAAACCAATTATTACAGCAACTTACAAATATATATTTGAATTTTCATTTTTATGTTTTAACTTAAACCAATAATTACACAGAATGTAAAACTCCCAATCAAATCTTAACTATTGTTGAAATATTATAGCTATTGAAACCAGTTCTTACATACCTTGAAACCAGCACTTTGGTTACAATAGTATTTTCATATTAAATGTTAAATTAAGTTAATGATTTTTGATGATAGAATTTTTTTTCAGAAACATTCACATGCTGTTACTCTATCACTTCAAAAGTGGTCACAACACAACAAAGGTTCACAATCTCATTTGCAAAGCATTTGTTAAAGCATTCTTGGTAAACAAAGGTGAACCAGCTATTGCAAATGCCAAAGGATCATGCAGAAGAAGATAATGAATAATCTGTATTTGACATCATGATAGAGCTAAAATAAACCAATATCACTTTCACAAAAGAACTATTATGAACAATTGGATCATTTGGACGCCAAAATCAAAGACAATACCTGACATGTGAACTTTCTTAAAAAAACTTCCAGTCATTCTATGCTCACAGGATTAAAAGTTTGAAGCAAAGATGCAAATATGAGGTTGATATTGATAGCAATTTCCTACAAGACTGAATTGTAATCATTGTTGAGTTAATTGTAAATATATTTTTTTTAAATACCTAAATTTCACATTTACAATTTGATACAACATATTTATCTATACTACTATATAAAGAGATAACGTATTTTTCGTTTGTGACCACTAACCGTGAAAACTACCGAACCAATCGTTAGCAAACTTTAACTGTAGCATCTTTATGATCCCTGGAATGTTTACCATTAATCAAATCTACAGATTTTTTATTAATTAAATAAAAATGTAACGGAGTTTTGTCTGTCTATTTTTCTCTCTCTTCACTAGATGGCGACACACGCTGTCTATAAGAAAAGTCTATTATTGAAGTTTACTATTATATTTGAAGAACTGACATTAAATTATAATTAGTTAATTAGCAAAATCTTCGAGGAATTAAAAAAGTGACGTCATCACGCTAGATGGCAGTATGTGTACTTATGGGGGATTTTCGAATCGTTTCTGCAAGTAATTGTACAAAATATTCGAAATAGTTATTGGTGAATATTTTTGAGATTGATTAATAAATAATGCCGAGAGCTGCAAGAGCACGAATAGGAAGGAACAGTTCATAATTGTAGACGACGTGAATCTACACTTCTACAGCAACGACTGGAAGGGCAACGAATTCGTTCGGCTCAGAATCGAATACAAGTAGCGAGGAATTTTTTAGGTTTCACATCAATATAACTTATTCAGAAGTTTTACGATTTTATTTTTTTATATTTTGCAATACTCTACTGCAATACTACACATTGATCACTCAAAAATAATTAATGAACAATTAGTTCAAATTTTCTAAGTTCTATATGTAGGCCTATATAAGAGCGGGCAGGCCGCGACAGGGATGCTAGTATAAGATAAAAAAGCAAGAGATCTTGCACAAGTTTTCTAGCAGTCAAACATACGGTTAAGCAGTCAGGAAGTCTGATAATTTTCAATTTTAGTTTCTAAAAGTTAAAAAAAGACAATACTATTTTTGGGACAGGAGTGAGGTTTATAACAAATTATAAATGCCAATGAGTAAAATTTTCATTAAGTCTGACTCCACTCAAGATATGACCCCTACTCCCTCTCTCTTCTCTTGACTTATAATCTCCAAAATGTATCATCATCTGTCCCATGTGTAGAAGTGTTCTTGCCAAATTCCAAAAGTTATGGAGTCTTGAGTTATAAAGTAAATTACAGACAAAAACATACAATTTTGTCAGCTTTTTTGTGTTTTTGAAATTAAGACCTTAATTAAAACATGAAGCAATGCAAAAAACCCAAAAGGGTCAAATCATAATAAACTAGATTTATTATGAAATGCCAAAAAAAGTGAAAAACTCGTGGATTATTATTCAGTGTAATTTAGGAAATTAATTTATCATTTCCTTTTTACACCTTTATGTTGCCCTATAATTGTAGAAAATATAGCAACCCTACTCTCTAAGGATACAACCTGTATATCACAGCTAAGGAAAAGAAAACCATGAAAGGTGCATAAATGATTTCCAACTCAATCATATGGAATACCCTTTCAGATAACAAAAGAAATGAAATAACCACTCTTTACAATTTAATATAATATTGTTTATATTAAAAATAGTTCTAAATTTTTGATAATGGCAAAATGTATGAAATAATCTACTAAAAGAAAGAAGGAAAAATCCGTTTATCAAAATTTCTAAATTCTAGCAGATCTAAAAAAAATTTCTAATTTTTAAATGATTAAAATTGAAATATGATCCAAACCTTTAAAATTAAAATAAATTCAGAACTTCTCATTTTGAATCATTTAAAACTACTGTATGAAAATATGTGCCGTATACTCACTCACCTTTCTTCCATTATCATCACTTGATCGTATCCCTGAGTAGTACATTGGCGAATGTGACAACTGCTGGCCCAAGTGATCTGATAATAAATTTTTCTATTCAAATCAATACTATTTAGAAAAACAAATTGTTAAATATTACACAATTTATTATTGTATTAAGATAATTTATCAGTAAAAAAGTATTTATGAGTACTTACACGTAGTTTCTGATTTATAATTCATAATTCATTGATGTAAATGTAAAAAGCTCTAAACACATTTATTTATAAATTCTACAAAAATAGCACATTTTTAAATTAATAAGCAGATATACTTGATCATTTGCACACTCTTTTATGTCTTATTGACTGACACTGATAAATACTTCTTGATTGATTTCAGATTAAGGTTTATCTAAAACTTCAATTTTAAAATATGTATTAATGAAAAAAATTTATTATAAATTATCTGATATCAAAATTTTGAATACTGGAAAAAATTTACTAGAATAAATGATAACTTTTTTAAAATGTTTATGTAATGTTAATCTACCATACAAAATTTAACTTACAGAATGTTAATTTAAAAAATTTCCTTTTTTATCTTGCAATTTACCTAACCAAATTAACATTTTATTGAAGAACAGATTCAATCACTGTTATTCAATGCACTAGTATTTCCCCAGAATAAGAATGAAATTGAAGTACTGGATCTTGAATGTGTTAATAAACAGTTTCATCTTTCTTATAAATAAAAGGAATTTTGTTTGAGACTTTTCCTACTTTTATACTACGTGACAGTAAATTAATAAAACAGTTATTAATTCATGTAAATGTATGAACATAATCTAAATAATGATGTTGAACTGACTAAGACTAGTTAAGTAGTGTTATTACTATTTAATAGATTACTATCCCTTCAACTTAAATACTGGTAATTTACTTTATTGATTCTGATGTAAAACATGATGCATGAATATTTTGAAGTAAAATAATATTTCTCCATCTACTTTCAATGTTTGTTTGAAATATAAGTATTGTCTCTTGAAATATATCTAAAATATATCATTTTAAATTGTTTTGTTACAGATTACTTTACTAAGAGTTACTTTTTTCATCATTTGAGAAACACTAACTATTAAGAACATTTCTAAAAAATTAAATAAATTTTCATTGAGATAGGATCAGAAGAAAAACCAATACAACAACAGAATCAATAATCCCATATATATAGTCACAAACTAAATCTGATGTGACTCTATAGGTAAATTTGCTAATTTGTATTTTTCTAAAGATATACCAGTGTTCTTTAATTTTTTCCTCCCCTGGTTTTCCCCAAAGAATAACAACTGGACTGAAAAAGGAAATCCAGAGAGCTGACTAATAATCTCTTAATCCAAGCATTCTGGGTACATCCACTACTATTTAATAAACATACAATAAAACAAAGTTTCAATTATGTTACAACACTAACAAATAAAAAATTTTCTTATAATCAATGATTCATTTTCCAATCCTGTTCAGTTCCATTTAGAATTGTTAGAGTCTGTTATATCCATATTAATGATCAATAAATCCATAACATTGTCTTCAAAAGAAAAGTACGATTTTCAAAATTCCTTTTCCTTTCAACAAGCTTTACAGATGAGATCTACATGGATCATCAACATTTATACTTTCTTCAAATAAAATTCTGACAACTTGAAAATTTTATTGATATATTCAACATAAACTTTGACCTGACTCCACGTTAAGTTTTGCATGATATAGTGGTAGGCATAATACAATGTGGCCAGCTGCTTTAGCCATATCATTAACAAAATAATTCAAATATATAACTTCCCCACGCACACCGGATTGTATAATAAAAATTCAACTTACTCAAGCCTGTAACTAATGTGAAATGATAAAATTTTACCGATGTGAAATGGTAAAATTTTACTGTTTCACATCGTTTACAGGCTTGAGTAAGTTGAATTTTTATAATTCAAATACTGCAGTATCTTTATTTTTACTATCTCAAACATTTCCAATTGGTATCAATTAGCTCTTGTTACAATTTTTCTAACAGCCATATTATTTCTTCTCAGCCAGAAGTTTTGTCTTTTCTCTATGAATTTGTGAGCAGATTCTCAGAGAAAATGCTATGATATCTCAAGTCATCTGCAAAAGCAGTAAATTCCTATGAGATGAGTAATAAATGTTTCAAACCATTCTTCAAAGCAGGAATATAATCTCCTGACAATAATCATGATTATTATTTGATGCAAAAGTAGAAAAAAAGCTATCTACAAGTCCATTTTCATTGCTTGCATAGACACATATTAAGCACGGGATAATTGTTTATTTCACAAAAAATAGTTAATTGACAAATTCTATCTTTCCATCTGTTGATGATCATCTTTGTTCATAACAAAAATGCTTGAAACTGACAAAGATAGACTTTGTTCTCACAAAGTGAGTGATACATTAAGAAGTATTTCTTTAGTTTGTTTAGGTTAAGGAGATTCTATATCGAACATCTATAGCAGGTTCTGCTATAGCTGTTCAATAAAGTATCTCCTTAACCTGACACAGGCAACAGAATATAGCCAAAAATATTCGTTTTTAATCAGTGAATGCTGAAAAGTGAGAGGACGGTGTGAATTTTAATTATTTATTGTTCTATGTCTATTAAGAGTAAAAATCCACATTAAAAGTTTGATTAGGTTTTAGCCCAGGCAATACCAGGTACCTCTGCTAGTAAATGGATAGAAGTTATTGAATTTAAATAAACAACAGTATATCATTTTAAGAAATGAGATAAAATGACAAATGTTGTTAATTTTCAAAGGACACTAAAGCAAGAATATTTATTAAAAATATATATATTTTTTTTTTGCATAATTTTGTGTACTGTACAATNTATTTTAAACCGTTTGATTTTTGTATTAAAGTTTTTTTAATTGATTGATGATTGATTCAATCAACTAATTTGTTGACTGTATTAACTTGATTCTTTAGATATTGAAAATTAAATAAATAACATTATGTTAATTTAAGCGTACAGAAACGTTGCTGTTGTTCCAGCAAAAATCTTATTTTCACTTTACAGAGTGCCTAGTAGGTAATTTGCAGATTACCTAGATAATCTGAACATTACCTAGGTAATTTGAGAAATGGAATAATTTTCATAGCTTTAATGGATAACCCTAGTTAATCTGCAGATTAGCTAGGTAATGCGCACATTAACGGATTTCGAGCTTTAGCGGTAACATATATACTATTTTACCATTTATTAGCATTTATTAAAGACAAAAGCAAATTTGCATACCAATCAGTTAGACCTTTATTTTTACGTAAAGAATTAAATCTTGGCTGAATATTTAATACTGAAGGACTGTCTCCAACATTTTTCAGAGATAATCAACATTTTTATTTTATAATTGTCAAAGTTGAAAACACTGTTTTGCAATACATAGTACAGAGTACAAAATTTTGTTATAAAATTTTTATGATCCTCTTTCAGATTGCAACTCACAGTTTAAGAAGTCCTGTTTATTTCAACACGTAGATTGATATACTACAGAATGGCAAAAATGAATGCAACATTACACAAATCTGTGAAGATACAAGCTATTATCATAGACAATTTAATAATTAATTTTTTAAAATGTTTATATATATTGTAGTTTATGCTTATCTGATATTACAGTAATATAAATAAAAAAGTAACGTTAACCATATTTACCTGTTACTTCAAGTTACAGTCTGAAACAGTCATGTTATTTGTAACAGCATATCATATTGTAATATCCTTAAATATTGATATTATTTCTGATGATGATGATGTATAATCATTTATATAACTTTGATTTGATGTGTTGTAATTAATATGCATTATGATAATTTAAAAAAAAACTATTTTAAATATACATACAGTATATTTTGTAAAGTTATGTAAAATCCCCTAAATTTTGTAAAATCTAAGTGACTCATACAACATAGAATTCATATAAAATGGAATTATCAACAGTGTTATGGGGGGGTCGACTATATTTTAATTTTTGTTTTTAAAATGTCAAATGATAATTTTAACTATTTTATTTTTGAATTTTATTGATTTTTATTGTATTAGATTTATTTAGACAGCCATCTCTGGTTTTACCAAGCCAGAAGTGCTACATAAGCCATTATTTTGCTATTTCAACACACCGTATTAAAAAAACAAAATAGATTCCTCAATCTTACATTTTCCTCAATTTAATGTTTATTTTTAACGTTTTTCAGAGGATCGTTAGATTTGGGTTTTACTGTACCCTGAAGAAAACTGACAGAATAAAAATAAAACTTTTGCACAACCTACACTATTGTATACTATACACTTCTGAAGTGACCATTGGTGGCAAAACACCTACTCAGAGTTGTCAAGAGCTTGTATGGAGCCTGAGGATAGAAGTCCATTTAGACTTTTTTGAATAAATTAAATGCATAGAATTTATTTCTATGCATTTCATATATGAACTTCCAAACATGCATAAAATGCAGACAGCATGATTCCTTAAGTTGGGATAGCTATTTTGATTTTTGAAGTACTTTGTATAAAATGCCAAAATGTCAACTTCATTAAACTTGCCTTTTTAAAGCAGTATCACACTGCAAATCTATTAGTTCCATTTGCAAGTAAGTCAGTGCTTTACCAACGTTGAAAGTAAACAGATCATTAAAAAGAGGAAAATAGTAGGTATTGAGCTTTCTTGAATAAATGAAATGCGTAGAATTTATTTCTACACATTTCATTTAATTTTTAATGATCTGTTTACGTTCAATGTTGGTAAAGCACTGACTTACTTGCAAATGGAACTAATAGATTTGCAGTGTGATACTGTTTTAAAAAGCAAATTTAATGAAGTTGACATTTTGGCATTTTATACAAAGTACTTCAAAAATCAAAATAGCTATCCCAACTTAAGGAATCATGCTGTCTGCATTTTAAGCATGTTTGGAAGTTCATATATGTGTGAACAGTTGCTTTCAACAATGAAGATTAATAAATGTAAATATCGTTCAAGACTTACAGATGAACATCTTCATTCTATTTTGAAAATCAATACACTGTTGACACCAAACACCAAGGAAAAGAAGTCAAGTTTCTGGATATTCAAAATATTATTTTGATTTAATACAGGATGAAAGAATAAAGCAGTTAGAAGAAATACTAAAAGAAGTAGAACAAGAGAGAGCAAGATTACAAAAGGATAAATTTTTAAATATTATTTTGATTTAATTTAGGATGAAAGAATAAAGCAGTTAGAAGAAATACTAAAAGAAGTAGAACAAGAGAGAGCAAGATTACAAAAGGATTTCAGCATTAAACAAATGCAGGCTGACAAATATCAACACCTAGCCGACGATGCTAGGAATAAGCTTGATGATTTGGAAGCAGAAAATATTTCCTTGCGAAAGGTATGAAAGAACAAGTTTGTATTTAAAAAAAATTAACATGAGAAAATGTCAGTTAATTTATTTTTTCAAGGAAGTTGAAATTCTCAGACACGGTCAGAAACAGGCAGTAGCTATTAAAGGTACCACAGAGTCGCGACTTCATCGCACACTAGAAGAGATGGACAGATTAAGAACAGAATTGAAACAAGCAAGACAAGAATATAAAGTAATTTAATACTCAGAATTTAAATTATTTTCGATATAATTAAATATTACATTTCTCTTAAATTTTGATAATTTATTTGGCATCATTTTTTAGAGCCACTCGGATTTAGAGAAAAAGAAAATCGAAGAAGTAATGGCCGAAAATAGGCAAATGGAAAAACAAAAGAGCGAGCTTTTGAATGCATTTAAGAAACAGATGAAATTAATAGATGTTTTGAAAAAACAGAAGGTACTATTTAAAATTTAATTAATTTTTCTTAATCCGTAAACAAATAAATGTTTGAAAAATGTCAAGCTGGTAGCAAATATGCATAATACAATAGTACAGGATGTTCCACTTGAAACAAGTCCCATTCACCAGTTAAGGAAACTATTGCAATTTACATTATGGAAAAAATATGGGACAAAATACAATTAGAAACTCTTTGAAAACTAAGCTTTATTCCCAAGACATTACAGAAAGTCGCATAACCAATGTTTCATCATTTAAGGAGGTCTGGTTTTGCGTAAGATGCACTATATTTGTTGCCAGCCCAGAATATTACCTATTTGGTAATGGTTAAGGATTAAATCCTTAGTAATATAGTGCATTCTGTTGCATACATTTAAATATATTTGGAATCTCAACACAACAGATGAGAGTAACATATGCAATAGCAATGATCAATATTCCTGTGTTATGAAAAACTGTACCATTTAATAATTCAAAGAGATATAAAACAAGTTCTCTTATTTCTTTCATGATATGTAAACCAAAAAAACTTTTTGGTGCAATATTCTATGCAAAATTTCAATTGTCTAGAATCGCAGTGACTAAATTAACAATGCAAGCACTTGTAATATAATTTGAATAAATTACAAATGCTTGCATTGTGAATTGTATGATATAAATACTTCCTAAATCAAACAACAAAAATTAAAAATGAATATTTAAATATTCATGTATACTCATGCAAGTGAATTAAATGAACACATTGGGAACTGTAAAGTGGTTTCTGAATACAAAATTTTCGAAGCAATGTTTTTGTCGTTCACTTTTATATAGGAGTTCTGCAATTATTTAATTATAAAAAGTAATAACGTAAATGAGATCTGTTATTGTGGAATACGTAAAGGCGTTTTAATGTATTCTATGTTTAGAAAACAATGACACATATATAAAGTTAGTACAATACAATATTACTTTATCAGTTTTTCTTGTATTGGGTATTTTTTAAGATAATTATATAGAATTAACTTAATTTAGAAAAAATTTTGTTTGTCCGTTATAAAATGAAGAAGAGACGATACTGTGGTTTAAAGGCATTACATGTGCATTTCAAGTATTTTTCATCACCTCTATATACTTTTGTATATTTCATTGCTTTTTTCCTTAATGTTCATTCCTGTATTTGTATTGTTTATATTACTGTATAACTTTTCTGTGCCATAATTTTGCCATCAATAGAATGGAGTGTGTGACTCAGAACGATGCTTGAGTACTGCTTTGGTGGTGTGCTGATGTCACAAGGACTACACCTATCTTACTCAGAGATCCCACTGAAGTCTCCATTATCTTTCACTTTTCCTGTTTTACTTCTTCATTTTCTCTCCACTTTCAGTTCTCATTCCCCCTCTTGGGATATAACAGTCATCCTGGCTTTTCCCTCTTTTGTGGAGTTAAAAACAAGAATTTTCAATACAATTTATGATATATTTCTTATTTAATCAACTGCATCTTATCACTGTTTTCAGTATTAGTAAAATAACTATTTTTTGGTCTGTAATTTTCAAATTGCAGACCTATAGATTTGCACTGTCGTCCGTCCTTTCTTACTCTCAACATAGATAGATAATAATTGAGATTAGATATGGAAACTTAGGGGCTGCAAACCTGATTAACTGTATATGAACTTCCAATCGGGAGTCATGTGATTTTAATTCAAAATTTTCTTGAGAATGGAGTTAAATAGATGAAAACTGAGACTAGAAATGGAAAGCTTAGGGGCCGGAGGCTCTGATTACACATATACAAACTTATGATCTGGACTGGAAGTCACAGGATTTTTAAAATGAAAATATAAATCCAAATCTGTACTTGGTGCCTTTTATTCCAAGCTTGTTGAAAGTGGTAAGATGATGGTAGCTGTGATGTTATAGCTACCATCTTCTTCTTACATAATTTGTGTAATATAGTTTTTACCTTAGAAACAAGACAACTCTATGAACTAAATAGTTATTTGAAAAGCTGTACATTATTTTTGTAATTCTGCATTTCCTATCTTCAAACACAATCAATTTGACTTTGAGTGTGCAGTGCAAGTTTCTGTACAAGACTTTGGTTCACGTCTTTAGACAGCACTTTATGCAATTGATCAGTTGATCCATTTTGTTTTTACTTTCCACACTTTTGTAGATGGCTGTCCTGACTGTTGCCCAAAATCCTCAATTTGGCCTAATTTCTGGCATGTCTTGCAGGGTTGTCCTCCTCAATGTGATGTTTTCTTGTCGTAAGTAATCCAGTATGGTTTTAGTGTAATGAGAACTTGCTTGATCTGGACAGAAGACATACTGCTTGAGAATAGTTCTTTTGAATGTATGGAATTGAGTGACGTCATATACATTCATTTAAATATCGCTGGACTTGATAACAAAGCTTGATTTGAACAAAGTGTTTGACTCAATCCTTTCAATCCCATTGCAATTCAAACTTAAATTTTGCCCTCAAATTTCTTTTTCTCGGAAAATCTTTATATCTGTAAGTGTAGAGGCAATATTACTGGTATAAAATCTACATTACCATTCATCTTCAAGTGTGAAAAGGTGAAGAAAGATTTGTCATCCAAAATGAGGAACTTTTCAGAGAATTTTGACAATAGCCTTATGCACTTTCTTTATCAGTGATCACTGCATGTCTGGTCTGTCCAGAATTACCCACTACTTTTGATATTTAGTATTCTTTTTCATTTTCAAAGCCTCATGGAGTTAACCAAGTGAAATTTTCAGTTTTGGGGCTACAGATTGAAAGAGAACCTTATGACTTCTTCAAAGATTCTCTTCAATCCTTCCAACTTGGCTTTTGTTAGAATTTTTGCTTTTCTACAAGACCCCATTCTTCTCTTTGGTGATAATCCACTCTTAAAATGGAGAATACAATATACAGTCCATTTGAAATTCCTTCATTTGCAAAATGGTTCATAGTAAACTTTTTCTCTATACAATACACAATTCAACTATTATTATTATTATTATTATTATGTGTAAGATGTCCAGAAAGTCGGGTCATTAAGACTTGCAGTGAATTACTATTATCTATCAAGATATTGATCCTAATGTGCTCCTTGAATAGAAACATGGTACTATGACTTTAAAGATATTTGATTGTCAAACATAAATGCATTGAACATAATTCTTGGAAGTAAGTTTCTTCTGCGACTCTAGACTTTTCGGATATCTTTGTATATATATATATGTGGGCTATCGTGACACATTATTAAAACATATTTTTTTTTAGAGAAGCTATATAGTTATCAAGTGAAAGCGTAATTATTGAGGTTTTAACAGTATATTTCAAACTTTCAATATCTAAAACCACACTCATGAATGTGGTAATCAAATTCATGACATGCTTCCTGCAATGTATATTTTGTAAATTTGGGTGATAGGTTGATGTGATGTAACTTTGAAACTCTTAGAAAAATCAATAAACAGAAGACACAAAACCTCATAGAAAAACAAATCTAAAAAGGTGTGAGATCAGATAATCTCGGTGGCTAAAATCTTGGGCAAGTTTAGGATTTTACGTGTAACATCCAAAATTAACAAATTTTATAGCAGAATACATTTTTGTTTTGACTTGACTATAAAATTATACAGAATTATGAGTTCTGCCAAGTTTTAAACTAATTAGATGTTGTTTCCAAAGTTCTTCATTGTCGAATCATTATCACAGATATTGATTTTATCAAAGTTGAATCTTTCCTTATGTGAAAAAAATTGATTATCCATTACTAATAAGTAATGGATAATCAATTATTAATGCACAGAATGCACCAATAATCCCAAATAGATACAAACTGATTTAATGTTAGTGTATTCATCTGTAAAAAATTGATGGAACCAGACTAGAGTGGACATTTTTATGTATTTCATTTGTTCAAAAAAAAAAAGCAAAAAGATTTTTCTCTTAATAAAGAAGCATTAGGAACCACTACAGCCCTTAGTTTCCTCTGTGCCTGGGAAAAATTCCCCAGCTCCCCCTCTGTGGTCCTGGATGGAAGAACGATTATTGTAATGTACTGAAATGGCTTTATGCATTTTATTCATTTTCCAAAATAAAGATTGTCCCATAAGTCAGTTTATGAAATATGAATTTTTGTAACGTCACATAGAGTGGTGTGAAATATGTTAATAAGGAATAAAAAGTTTTCGTTCCTCTTTTACTCTGTGGAAATTAGTTGCAGCGGTTACTGCCAGGGTGTAGATTTTTCTCAAAATGGTGGTGACACAGGAGGAGAAAGCATTCCATTTTGTTGAATTTACCAAAAGTTTTGTCTGTAGTTGCTGCTTTCGAGCTCATTTTACCACACCTGCACAGGTGTACAAGAGTATCGCCAAATGGCATGAGTGGTTCCAGCCGTGAGTGTATGTAACTGAGCTCTTACAGTTGAACTAGGCAAGAATGTCTGGAACTTGGAATTCCTAAATTGATTGATTGGTGCATTCTATTCCAAAAATTAAGATTAAGTTGACACTTTCATTCTGAGAAAAACCTGAATCCTTGTGGTATCTACTGCAACTAATTGCCACATTCATTCATTTCTCTTCTTTCTATTAACATATTTCACAGCATTGCACATGATAGTTTATGAATTATCTAATTGGATGCCCCGCATATCAAGAAATATAATCTTTAGAAAGAAATAATATTACAAAAAAAACATTGATACTCCCCAAACAAAGAGATCTTATGTTCTGAAATTAAATATGAAGGTATCATTTACTACTGTCAAAAATAATTTTTAATTTTTCATTTAGTATTTCAGGTAAAGTAATCTTTTAATTAATGATTTTAACAGTGATTTTAGTCTAAAATTTGACTTTTATATATTTTATATTGGATCACAGTATAAATAATTTAAACATTTATCAATTTTCAGATGCACCTGGAAGCGTCGAAAGCACTGAACTTCACAGAGGAAGAATTTATGCGTGCTCTCGATTGGGGCAGTTAGAAACTTAACCGGGTTCTGTTTGACAATTTCTATATTTAAAATACTTGTCTTCGTAATTTACAAAGCTTCTCTTTCAAAGTCAAGTTGTAATTTGAGTACTGCCACAGACGTTACTCGATACTTAAATTATAACTTTAAATCGACCTTCAGCAATACGTTTATAGTGAAGTGAAGTCACAATCTGCACCATTTTTATGCTTTTATGGGACCATTACGTGACTGATTTAAGCAGTATGCCATCTTCAACTATTCCATGTCAATTTTAAATTATTGTTAGCTTAGTTAATAACATATTAAGTTAATATATTATTATTGTATGTTTTTACAAATTTTCTATCTTACAGTTTTTGTAAGTTAGGCATTTATTTTCAAGTACAAAAAAACAATTATATTGTATATATCTGTTATATTTATTCCTTCTATATACAAAATACTGTGTTTTTGGAGCAATAAATAATTTATAATTACCATTAAATTAATTCGAGCCTTGCCAATGGTTAAAATGAAAACACTAATTCCATAATTATTATTTCACTTTATTTTTGTAAGACACAGCCAATGTTCACATATGTCGTAAGGACCTTGTACATTGTTGTTATCGTAAGGTATGTGCNGTGAAATGATAAAATTTTACCGATGTGAAATGGTAAAATTTTACTGTTTCACATCGTTTACAGGCTTGAGTAAGTTGAATTTTTATAATTCAAATACTGCAGTATCTTTATTTTTACTATCTCAAACATTTCCAATTGGTATCAATTAGCTCTTGTTACAATTTTTCTAACAGCCATATTATTTCTTCTCAGCCAGAAGTTTTGTCTTTTCTCTATGAATTTGTGAGCAGATTCTCAGAGAAAATGCTATGATATCTCAAGTCATCTGCAAAAGCAGTAAATTCCTATGAGATGAGTAATAAATGTTTCAAACCATTCTTCAAAGCAGGAATATAATCTCCTGACAATAATCATGATTATTATTTGATGCAAAAGTAGAAAAAAAGCTATCTACAAGTCCATTTTCATTGCTTGCATAGACACATATTAAGCACGGGATAATTGTTTATTTCACAAAAAATAGTTAATTGACAAATTCTATCTTTCCATCTGTTGATGATCATCTTTGTTCATAACAAAAATGCTTGAAACTGACAAAGATAGACTTTGTTCTCACAAAGTGAGTGATACATTAAGAAGTATTTCTTTAGTTTGTTTAGGTTAAGGAGATTCTATATCGAACATCTATAGCAGGTTCTGCTATAGCTGTTCAATAAAGTATCTCCTTAACCTGACACAGGCAACAGAATATAGCCAAAAATATTCGTTTTTAATCAGTGAATGCTGAAAAGTGAGAGGACGGTGTGAATTTTAATTATTTATTGTTCTATGTCTATTAAGAGTAAAAATCCACATTAAAAGTTTGATTAGGTTTTAGCCCAGGCAATACCAGGTACCTCTGCTAGTAAATGGATAGAAGTTATTGAATTTAAATAAACAACAGTATATCATTTTAAGAAATGAGATAAAATGACAAATGTTGTTAATTTTCAAAGGACACTAAAGCAAGAATATTTATTAAAAATATATATATATTTTTTTGCATAATTTTGTGTACTGTACAATCATGTCAAACAGCTCATTATTAACTTTAAAAAATTGAAAAGAAATAGTTATAGTTTTTGAAAAAAATTTAATTGAAAACTTCAAAAATCAAGGTATAAAAATTTTTTATGCATTTAGTACTAGCCTGGGCTAAATAATTCTATATCAGCTCAACAATAACATGTATATTTTTAACACACAATATCTAAAAAAATTAACTATTGAGTTTTCTATAACTGAAACTAATTAGTATGAATGCAGGGGGTATTTTTCTAAATATTCATAAGATTATTTTTATTAAATTTAAACATCAAAACATTTTTGAATGAAATTGCTTGAAAAACTTTTAAATATATGCTCATTCTTATTATTTCTTAAATCTATTTATTAAAGTTAAAGTTAATTAAATAATGAATAAAATTAAAAAAAACATACCCTGATGACCAGACCAAATGGAAATGTCACAATTAGTAGGTGATGTTCTTACAGGATGGGGATAAGGCTCCAACAGTGATGATGGATTTTGAAGAATACCCGGTGATGTGCGATGATTAAATGGATGAAGATGTGGATGAGGAGGTTGGCCTTGATTTGAAAAAGGATGATCTGACTGTTGTAGAACACTGAGATTACCACCAGGTGAAGCTAACTGTCGAATCTCCTAAACAGCATATTACAAAAAAGTTAATCTAACAGTATAATTCTAAATTAGCATTTCATCCTAATAAAAAAAAAATCTAATACAAAACCAGGTATTTTATATAAACTAACTTGAAATATTATTCAGATTGCTTATTAGATTTTAAGAAAATACATGCCATTAATTCATAACAATAAATATACTTACACTAAAAATAAACTAAAACTTGTTAAATTTATTTTATGATTATGATGTAAAATTTGATTCACATTGTATGATGGGATACAAGTGTCATCATGCTACTATAGTCTGTTCCACATTTAGAATGAAGCCAATCTACTATGTATCATTCCACTACCATAATTAACAGCAAAGCTTGAGTAAATGTTAACAATCTATATATATATATAAAGCTGAAAAACAGGCCACTAGGGGCATCCCTAGCTATTATTTCAATTAACAATAAATTCAGTATATATTATTTGATGTGTTTTTTTGCATTTTTGGCTGCATTTTAGTAGGGTATGCCATGAAAAATTCAGTATATTATTTTTATTTGTAATAGGAATTTATTATTTATGCCACAGAATGACACCGCTGCTGCTAGAACGCCCACTAGGGGCATCCTGGGCTACTAGAATAGAAGGATTAGAAGTATGAAATAATCTAATAATCTTAATCTTTGTTGTTGTTTCGCCCGGGCTCATCTGCTGGTTAGTTATAACTATCAAAAAATTATTAAAGTGATTATTTTATAATTAACTATGATTTATTATCTTTGTTTTTTTTCCATTAAATAATTTTTTAAATGCAATTTCAAAACAAGATTTTGACCTTTCATTTGAAATAAAACATTACAATCATGTATTGATGTATCATTAGGTGTAATGCATTATTTATTTAAGAACAGAATTTAAGTACAAATTAGTCTTTCTAATCCAATTACAGTAAGACCCCGCTTAGCACTGCCTTGCTTAACACTGATTCGATACAACGCAGTCTGCTCGAAACTTAAAAAAAGCTCAAAATTTACACTGATTTAAATTATTACAGTTTTTTATTGATTTGCATATAATATGATTATTTATGAACACAAACCAATCAGCAAAAGTTGGCAAAAATTCTTCAAATCTATGTTTGTTTGGTGCAATTTTGGAAAAATATAACATTATGGAGGCCATAGGAAATATCGACTTTGCTTGGCAAGAATTAACTGATAAATGCACGAACAAAGTGTGGAAGAAGTTATGACTGAAGGTATCAAGAATTCTCAACGAGAAGAGCCTATCACAGTATTGTTAGGTTGACTGAACTCAACCTAATCAATATAGCAGGGCTAGGAGATATAGACGAGCAGGATATTGAGGAGTTACATCAGGTTTTTTGGCGAGAGTCTTACCAATGATGACCTTCAAGAACTGGAAGAACATGGAATCCATGTGAAACTGGAAAATAGAAATTCTGAAAACAAAAAACCCAAAAAATTTCTCTACAGATTTCCTTAGTAAAAGTTTGATAAGATAACCAAAATTCATGATGAAATTGTAGTGAATGATCCAAATTTTGAAAGGAGCGCAAAAGCAAAACAAGGCATTTTGATGCGATCTTCTGATACCGGCATTTGCTTAACGAAAAAAAAAAAAAGCGACAAATGAAACTTCACAACTTTATTGCAAAAGAACAAGAATTTCAGAACTTTCATCACAAAAAAAAGAACTTTAAATTTCTGTGTGCATATGTTTGTGTGTTATTTAACATACAGTGGTACCTCAGGATACGAAATTAATCCGTTCCGAAACTGAGATCGTATCATGAAAATGTCGTAAGGTGGATCATCTTTTCCCATACGATTACATGTAAAACCAAATAATTCGTTCCAACGCGAAAAACATACTCAAATTAAAGCCAAGTAATACATTNTGGCACACCCGTTGCAGAACACTGATGTAAATCTTATTCTGTAAAACCATGTTTACATCTATGTAATAATGTTGCAAACAGAATTTGTTATCTCATTATGAATCCTAGCCTGTATCATTTTTGTGAAAGAAGACCTGAATCATTTTGATGTACAGTACATTATTTTGTGCTGTACACTGTGACATTCCATTTCACATAGTATTTAAACAAACCATTTTGTCTAATGATCATAAAATCAGCTGCAGCTACTCACATCTGTGTTATCCTGAGCCATACTTTATACTGTGTCATTCTTTGATGGTTCATTGAAAAACCAACAAACAATGGATCAGCAACAAATCATTTCATGAACCATTCATGTGTCATGCTGCAAGGTCTTTTGCAACATCCTAACTGGTTTATCAAATAGTAACAGCATATTGTTCGCAATGTTGTTACATAGATGTGGCATGTGTAAGACTATGCAGGAACTTCATTGTTTTTGCCTTCACCTCTTCTACTGATATACTGTGTAAATGAAGTTAATTTGACTTAAACTTTGAGAAAAGAGAGTCACAAAGAGTAAGATATAGATGAATTGGGAAGGAAATTAGGTGCAATAAATTTTTATTGAATAAAAACTACTTTACAGACAAAGCATTAAGGGATGGTGCATTATTTTGATGTTTTCTACAATCCTAGCTGTTTCCTTTGCAAAATGAGTCAAAATTTCAATATAATAGCATTAATTGACAATCTGGTCATTGAAAACCACTCTGCCGTTGCAAAATCTCAAAGAAAGCAATGAATAACCAGCAAACAAAATCTTTAAAATATACCAGCAAACATAATTTAATATAAAGATGCTATGACAAATGTTTTCAATCCAGATAGGATCTGCTTCAGATCAAAATGTTTGATAGAATTAGAATGTTAAAAGATCAAATTTAAATTTTTGCCAGTGCTGTGGCGCTGCAATCTTTGGCTATGTCTTGGGCTACTCAAATATTTTACGTTTTTGATAATACTTTAGCACTTTGTTATCTAGGAATGCATCCCCCATGTTAAGCGGGGTCTTACTGTACTCTTACTAACAATCATAAAATGAAAATCTTATATAACGACATATAAGATATACACATCCCATTTGTTGAATTCACTCTATTCCAATCTCCATGGTGCCTCTTGCTCTACTGTCAGTCTTTATTATAGACCCATTTTTAAAGTTTGAACTATTTTTCCACTATGTATATGCATTATCAACTTCATTCCGAATGTGGTACATATTATAGTAATTCTTACTTTTGCTAAGTCTAGTAAAATAAAAATTTTTGCTTTTTGTCACAATAATTTATAATATTCATTAACTCATCTATCTAGTAATAACAACTCAATTTGTTTTCAACTTGCTAATGATTGTTTTGTGTTTCAGCTTTTCAAAACTATAAAAATAAAAATAATTAAAATATTTAATTTTTTTTATATTTTTATTTTCTTAAAAATAGCAATTTATTTTTTGATTCACTATATATAAGTCCTGTATTTCAAGATACCAAATTCATTAAATTTCAAATATCTTTACTTATAAATAAAGAAATTTTGTTCACACAGTGATAAGCTTATGTTGCATTTGCAGAAGTTAATTACATTAGCTATTTAAAAAATTCGTATGCAAACAAAATAAAATAAGTATTTTAAATCAGCTTATTTTCAATATTCTCATGTCTAAATTAGGCAAAAAAGTAAATAAATAAATAATAAAAATAATGGTATCTAATATTGATCAACAACTTGTTTAAGCATATGATAATGATAAAATGTACAGGTAACAAGCTTATAAAATAGTTAATATTTGCATTTAGTATAATGCATTCAGATCTAGCAAAGACAGTGTAATGAGTGGATAACCAATCCATTATAAATAAAGCTGCAATTCCCAACCTGATATGCAAAGCACTTCCAGTGGGTAAGAAAAAAGAAAAACTAACAACTACCAAATGTAAATCAACAATTTTTCATTTTAAAAATTTTATACCTAGGCAGTTTAAAATTTTCTACATCAGTAAACAACACCAACAAAACCTAAATATACCAGCAAATATATTTTAATATAAAGATGCTATGACAAATGTTTTCAATCCAGATAGGATCTGCTTCAAATCAAAATGTTTGATAGAATTAGAATGCAAAAGATCAAATTTAAATTTTAAATTTATAAAACTGCCATAGCAGTTAAAGATTAGGACAAGTATAAAAACCAGAGCTAGGTGTTAACATTAACATTAAAAATTGAAATAAAAATTAACAAATATATTTGTTAGAAATCATAAAAAATTAATTAATTCACTTATTTCTAAATATTGTTGGGATGATCAAAAAAGGTCTGCAACACATGCGAGATATTAGCCTCCTCCTTAAAATTAATACATTTCCCCTTTAATTCAGCTTTAAAAATTTCCAGAGCTTCTAAATCCCAACAACATTAATAAGAAATAAAAAAAATCAAATTGCTTATAATTTCTAACAAATATATTCATTAATTTTTATTTCAATTTTTAATGTTAGTGTTAACACCTAGTTTTGATTTTTATACTTGTCCTAATCTTTAACTGCTACGGAAGTTTATAAATTTAAATTTGATCTTTTGCACTCTAGTTCTATTGAACATTTTGACATTAAGCAGATCCTATCTGGATTGAAAACATTTGTCATAGCATCTTTATATTAAAATATAATTGCTGGTATATTTAGGTTTTGTTCATGTTATTTACTAGTACACAACCAGCTTTTGGAAGATTTAGAATTTTCTACATTCTAAAGCTGCTAACTTTAACATTTTAAAAAATTTATTTTATACATTTCTGAAGACCCGAGTTTGATTATTTTAATCTTTATTCTATCAACTAACTTCATCTCTGTACTACTAAAATTAGTGCAGTAGTACTAACAATTAAAAAAAATCAATGATCATGGAGGAAACCATTAAAGAATCTTGTCAAATAGTTTATAATTGTTTTCAACTTATAAATGTTTAGGATTGTAAAACTTTTCATTTTTATAAAAAGATACAAGGACTGGAAAGATTTGAAACTGCTGGACTAATGTCATAATTGCATGTCATA